CTACATTATGTATTTGGAATAAAAATTTCAGGTTTTATTTTGTATTTAGTCATGTTTGTCAAGACACTGGGGCTGCAGGTTCCACCAAGGAAACGTACCTAGAAGTAGGGGACAGGAACAAGACCACCAAAGGTCACCCTCTCAAAATATATCCACAGTGAGTCCCCCAAAGTATCTCTCTGGGTCTCAGTTTCCTCATCTATAAAATGAAGGATCTGGACTAGGTAACCTTCCAGGTTCCTTCCAGCTCCGGAGCTAATAAGAATCAACATTAAACTGATGACTACAAGCAGCTGCAAGAAGTAACCACTCCACATGTTTTTCAAACCTTAACTAAAACAACATGAAAGCTAGACTATAATTGTAGCTGTCACCAGGAAGTGTTGAAACAGAAGATGGGAGTCTCCATGGAATCTAGAAAAAGGAGAGCAGAAAGGAAAACTTTGGTCTCCAGTTTTGTCTAGGACAAGAAGCTGCATGTTCCTCACCCCTAGGAGGAAGGCTGATAATTTTAATGCTGGCCACTCATTTAGCTAGAAAAAATACCCCTAGAATGAAGGGCAATTTACCCCTACAATAGCTGGAGGGAAATATTCCTCAAGATATCCAACTCCCTTCCTTCCAATTTCATTCCCACTAGACAACCTTTTGATTTATAATTTTACTTCTTAAGTGGGCCTGCCCACCAAGAGCAAGTGCCCTCTTCAAATGACTAGCCTTATTGCCAAATAGATCTCTAGTTATTATAAACAAATATATTGGTATTCTCATTTAAAAAGAAGCGTTCTTGGGGCAGCTAGGTGGTGCAGTGGATACAGCGCTGGCCCTGGATTCAGGAGGACCTGAGTTCAAATGTGGCCTTACACACTTGACACTTAACTAGCTAAGTGACCCTGGGCAAGTCACTTAACCCCAATGCGTAACAAAAAATAACAACAAAAAAAGTCCTATGAATTTGGTCAGCATGTATCAGAGATGGATCATACCTTGATGAACTAATAAAATGAGTTTCTAAATCTTCAAAGTTTAGCACCATGCCCTATACCAACAAGAGCTCACCAAAGTATGACACTTCACCTCTCTCTGGGTCTCAGTTTCCTCATCGGTAAAATGAAGAAATTGGACTAGGTAACCTTTCAGATTCCTTCCAACTCTAAATCTATGATCTTAATCCACATAAGCCTATTATATAAGTTATCTGAATACTCAGTTATCTTCTGACAAAATTGTTAATTAATGTCAAAAGTCAATTGAAAATTTTTTAAGTCTTTTTCCCCATTAAAAAAAGAATGCTTATTGGGTCTCCACATAATCAGATGTAAAGTTCCACAGTACTGTAATGTTTCCAAGGACATGCAATTCATTTAAAGTCTTGCCAACTACTTAAAAACCATCTCCTACTAGATGGTTTATAAGTCTTGCCAACTACTTATAAACCATCTCCTACTGTCAGCACTTAAATGCAAAGTGTTTAATAGTATAACCTCTACTGGCTTTAAAAGAGAAATGGAGCAGTTATAATAAGGCTGGGGCTAGAGGGGAGGGTGAATGTCTTTCTTTTAAAAAAAAGTATTTTTTTTTAAATGAAATTAATTCTCTGGAAAGCTGCCACATTAACAGCAAAAACAAACTATTCAGCAATAGAAATGAAAAGCACATAAGCCATATGGTCTTCACTTTTATTCTTAGGGATCATTAGGCTGATTGGTTTCAAGTGCATAATATATAATCATAATAGCTAGCATTTTATAGTGCTTTTCAGCTTTATATCTATTACCTCATTTAATTCTAACAAACCTGGGAGGTAGGCACATTTTTGAGCAAACTGACCCATTTTATAGTTGTCCTATTACCCTAAAGTAGAACAGGCTAGGGAACAGGGAAATAGATCAAGATATTGATTTATTACACAGAAAACTTTTTTTGTAAAAAGGCATTTTCTATGCTTAACTACTTGCTTCACATAATTTCTAAAATTGTAGTTTATCAACTACAAAATAAAGCTAGTGAATGAATACAAAAACTTCATAGCCTTGCCTTAATTATCTACTTAAGCTTAAATCAAGATATGCTGAAACAAAAACAAAAAACAAACAACTTTACTAAACAGAGCAAGTGAATAAAGTAACAGGTATAGCAAGGCAACACCTTAGAGTAGGGGTTCTTACCAGTAATTCATAGACCCCTAAGAGGTCTAAGGATAGATATTTTAGGGGATTCATTAACATGAATGAGAAAAAAAAATAATCTTTATATCAACCAAATTAGTTTCCTTAAGTAATCCTATGGATTTATTTTACATATGTAAAAACATAAAGGGGTACATGAACCCAAAAAAGGTTAAAAAAAAACAACCCTGCCAGACAGGGTACTGAAGGGCACTTTAGAAGACTCATGGGGATTTCTTATAAAGTAATCCTCACGGGATCACAGATTTAAGAGCTAGAAGGGACCCTGAAGGTCACAGTCTGAATCTCTCATTGCAGAGAGGAAGAAACTGAAGCTCAGAGAGTCTACATGAAGTCACACAGGTCAGAAGTGATAAAAGCTGAGACTGAGATTTCTTCAAATGTTTGCTGAAATGATGAGTATGGAAACACTGACTAACCCAAATTCTCAGATACTGCCTGCCTTCAGTATCAATCTCAAGGGAAATTGCAATTCACTTTTACATAGGGAACTTCACACACCTATAAAAATTAGCCAAGGTTTTTTGGAAGGTAAACACATTCCTTGTGGTGCTATACCAACAGAACATATCTTCATATGTAGAGCTTTAAAACTGTGCTAAGACTATTGGGACATTCTTTATAATCACAAAACACAAATGAGCAAATTAGAGCTTTATTCCTTTCTCTACTGAGATGTTTCTGAAAGATGTTACGTAGAAAACAAGAGTCTATGCAGTAATCTAAGTGTTCATTGTTGTCCCAAAACTAACAATAATCTTTTATTCAAAATCTGTCACCCTCTTACAATACAGGGCAGGAGACAAGTGAAACTTCTCAAAGATTCAACACTGCTACTAATTAACCAAAAACATAATAAATCTATCCAGTAAACTTTTCTAGTCAATCCAATAGACTCACTTCAAATAATTATTTAAAAAAAAACCACAAACAAAATAAAATGTTTCAAACTCATAGCACTTACTATGAATACTCTGGTTTATAGGCTAGGTGTCACACAATAGATTCCCATTTTGATTAAAAAACAAAAAACAAAACAAAAACCTTGACCTACAAGAAACAATTAAACTCATCCTTCCTGTACCTGAAATGTATCACGTAAGTATCCCAAAAGTACACTGTGACTAAGTTTATAAGGAAAAGTCATGGTCATAACCACAGTAAACAAAACATTTATTAAGCGCTTATATGTGTCAGGCACTGTGTTTAGGACTGGGGATATAAAAAGAGGCAAAAGACAACCCCTGCCCGCAAGGAACTCACAATCTAATTATCTAAAAGTCTTATGATAATGATGACTTTTTTTTTTTAATCTGTGGAAAATGAACTGGGGGGTTTGGGAAGCTGGATTTTGAAGCCCTGGACTGTGATGCTGACTCCTCTCCTAGATAGCTGTGTGACCTTGGGCAAGTCACTTATCCGGAGACTAAGTTTTCTAAAGCTCGTTTTGAAGATCAAAAGAAAATATACGAGAAAGCTCTTAAAAAAAACTGTAAAATGCTATAAAAATGTTAGGTATTGTTATTAGGATGCTCAAATGATGGAGGAGAAAACAATATGAAGTACTAAGGAGATAATAGAAATAGCCCTGACTTGGAGTCAGAAAATCTGAGTTCCATTCCTGGCTCTGGCCCTATTACCTGTGTGACCCTGGTTAGAGACAAGATGCAATCTTTTTAGGCCTCAGTTTCTTTACATGTAAATTCAAAAGAATGCTCTAGATGATCTCGAAGGGCCTTTCCACCTCTAAATCTATGCTCCTAAGAAAAGCAGGTCTGTCACCAAGACACAGAGGAGGGTAACAACAGCACGGGGAGGAAAAGCAGAGGGTTGGTGAGCTAGGTCAAAAAGATTCCAGAGATCCAAACGGTTTTGGAAAAGGCTTAGAGGCTTGGCAAGGTCCTGTCCCCCACTCTTGTCCCACTCTCCAACATCAGTAAAATTCAACATCCCCACCCCTTTCAGGAGTTTCATGAACAACGTGCTTCTCTTGAATTTACCCACATCTAAAAAACAAAATCAAAGCTCTTCCTCTTTCCTAACTCGTAAACGTCTACATTTCTCCTTCAAGATAACTAACTGCAAAGTGGGGAAAGAAGTGACAAAGTCGAAGGGAAAATGAGTCCGAGGGGAAAAGAATTAGGGCTGGGGGTCAACACCAGCAGAGGCACAGTTGGACACGCAGAAATCGGGAGGGGATCCAGGAAGGCAGGCAGAAAAGTGGGGAGAGGAGAGAAAAACAGGGAGACAGGCTGGGGGAAGGAGGGAAATGGGGAGGGGGAGAAGAGGCTGGGAGCGTGGGTATGTGGTAGAGATCCAACGAAAACAGAACGGAGGTGAGGGAAGAGAACCAGTTAAGGCAACACGGCGGTGGGGGTAGGGGTGGGGGGATTCTGGGAAGACAAAGGAATGGCAAGGGGGGGCGAAGAGGTAGAAATGGGGGTGCGTCAGGGCAGGGAACGGGGAAGGGGACCAGACGGACAGAGGTGGGGGAGGGGGCAAGGCCGAGGAAGGCAGAACGAGTGGACGACGAGGGAGGCAGAAGTGGGGAGACCCGGGGAGGCAGAGGGAGGGGATCCAGGGAGGCACAAAGCCGGGCACTAAGTAAGGGGAGGGGGCCTTCGGGAGGGGAGTGCCCAAGAACACTCTCCAGGAGACCACCAGTAAGGGGGTGGATCCCGGGGGTCGAGGTGAGCGGGAGGGGCGAGAAGGGGCCCGGGAGGGGGGAGGGGAGGCCTGAGGAGGGGCGCCCCGAGGCCACTGGGTGAGGCCGAGGGAGGAGGGGGCCGGGGCGGCCGCCGCTCCACTCACCCTCCGGCGAAGAGGTGCAGCAGCGTGTTCTCCTTCTGCTGCGAGGGGGCCGTCGCCATGGCCGGGCCGGGCGTGAGGAGGGGCACGGCTCGGGGCTGCTCCGCCGCCGCCGCCGCCGGCTGTCGGTCAATCACGGTCAGTTGGGCGGCGGGTCCCCGGCCTGCCTCCTCCTCCCCGCCTCAGGCCGCCTCGGCCGCAACCGTCGCCGCCTCCATCCAGAGCCTCTCCTACCACCGTCTGCGTCCGTTCCACCGGCCCCTGCGGCGCGAGCCGGCTAGCGAGGGGGTGAGGTCGTCACGTGGCGCCGGGGGCCGGGCCGCTGACGTCACGCCGGGGCTGACCGCGTGCCCCGGGGCTGCAGGGGCGGAACGAGGCGGAAAGAGCCTGAAGGCGTGGAGCAGCCGCGCGCTCGTATGCGTGCGCATGCGTTTGGCCGAATGCTCCGAGAGGGGGAGGGGAGAAGCGCGAGGGAAGAAAGAAGGGAGGGCGGGGGCGGGGCGGGGCGGGGCGGGGCGCGCTTCTCCGCGCCGATTGGCCGGCTCGCCGGTTGCCCCGGTTCTGTGGTTGCCAAAGCACTGGGCGCTGGAGCTGCAGTTACCGCTACCCGGGGGCAGAGGCAGACCCGCGGAGATTGTTTAGATTCCGACTTCATGGACGCCTTTTGTTTTTGCATCAAGCTCATTTCGATTCGGTCCCTCTGCCCATGCCCCCCTCAGCTAGCCATTCCTCGAAATAGACTTAAAATGGGGAGAGGCGGTTCATTCTGTCTGTCTCTCTCATTCTTTGGCTATCAAGGGAGGAAAGGGAGAAGGGACGTAGTTGGACAGAAGTTTTATATTTTTAAAAACTATCAATTTACAATTTTTTGCAACCAACCAATAGTTCCACAGGATCTGGTCCTATATATATATGTATATGTATGTATATGTATATGTATATGTATGATGTGTGTGTGTATGTGTGTGTATACATACATACAGATATCCACATACGCAATATTCCACACACATAGTCCCCCTCCTCTGCAATGAGGTTCATCATCTTAATTCTTCTCTAAGTGACAAGCTTGCTCATTGGAACAGCACAGCGTTTCTTTTTATTTTATTGTTGTTTCCCTCTTCGTTGTTGTATATTGGTTTTACTGGTTCTGCTTATTTCTCTCAGAGTCAGTTCATATAAATGTTTGGATTTAAATTCGTCTCCAGGAGCTAACCCAGGCGACCTGAACCCCAAACTCTCCTACAAGCTTCCTGGGACTCCCAGGCTACGGTGACTCATCACTTGGGCTCTCTATGGATGACAGACTTCTTGGCTGCTTCCAACTATGGGTTGACTCATCTTGGAAGGACTAATCATCTTAGGATAGCACAGAAAGCCTAAGTTTTCCCTTAGTTCTCCCCTACTCTCACCCCAGGGGGATAGCACATTATATTCTGTCTTTCTTGGACCCCATGTGTGGCATCAGGTAACTGCAAGACTCCTAATTTGGGATAAGATGCCCATGTCCATTCCATCACCATGCCTAGCCCATCTCTTTCTAGGGAGAGACTCAATTGTTCCAGATTGCTCTTGGGATCCTGGTTGCCTTTTCTCCGTTTTGCATTTCCTGAGTAGGGGGCAGAGACATTTTCAAAGTGTGTGTGTCAAGGCACGGACCTTGTGAGTTTGAGAGGTCTAGAGCAACTGGGACACAGAACAGACAACCGGGGCAGTTTCTTCTTCCAAGAAAATGACCACTGGCAGGAGGTTGGTGGGGAGTCATTTCAAAAGTGCAGAAACAAGCTAAAATATGACCATACCATTCTGTAGTCTCCTGAATTACTTTGCCTTTATGTGCTTCCTGAAAGCTCCTGTTTTACGTCATTCTGTCAATGAAAACTGTGAGCCTTTTGTGTAAGTAAGTATTTGCAGGTGGAAAATAAATGCCTATTCCATGCTTGATTTACATGGTACATTGAAAACTTCCCTGATTTGGGGAGTTGTAGACAAAAGCCCAAAGCTTTAAGTAACTCCCTCTCCCACATATAGTGGGTGACTGAAACAGCCAAAAAGCAGGAGAAAAGGGAGTCTCGACCCTTTCTCACTAGAGGCCAGGTCACCTCTTCATTGACTGACTGACAGGTTCCCCAAGTTTGAACCCTTTAGGACCATAATATCTAGGTGCAGAGAAGACAGGGCCCCTTATGAGGGAAGAGGAAGGTATGAAACCACATGGGGGGCAGCTAGGTGGTGCAGTGGATAAGCTCCAGCCTTGGAGTCAGGAGGACCTGAGTTCAAATCCAGTCTCAGATGCATGACACTTACTAGCTGTGTGACCCTAGGCAAGTCACTTAACCTCGATTGCCTCACCAAAAAAAAAAAAAAAAAGAGTGAAACCACATGGTCTCTTGGACTCAGCAGTGGTTCTGAAGGGTAGACAAATCTTTCCATACTTCTCAGAACTCTTGTTTCCCGTTTCTTCCAATGCAATCGTATCTCATTACATACATCCATCGCCATTTCTTTAACCACTCCTTAATCAGTGGACATCTACTTTGTTCACAATTCTTGGCTACTATGAATGTTTTGTCTATATGGGACCTTCCTTTGTCCTAGAAGTGGTATCTCTGGGTCAAAGAGTTTGGAAATTTTAGACACTCTGTGACAGTCACATTTAATGACTCTGAACTTGTCCCCAATCTCCAAGGTGTCCCCGTAGCACAAGAAATCTCTTAAGAGCAGGGAAAATCTACACGTAGGTCATGTTGTTGTGTTCCTGGTTACATAAAATGTGCACCTGGTCATCTACCCAGGTATGGGTCTAAAAAAATACCAAGAAACTCTTTCAGGGGTCACAGTCTCTGTGCTGTACTAGGCAAAATGGGACTTTGCAGAGTAGGAAGCAGAAATTCCTGTCTATATCCAGGGAACATGATTGTTTCAAGCACAGATTAAGCAATTAGGGTGAGCAGAATGCTGACCTTTACTTTGGAAACTTCTCTAAATAGTTTTTGGCCAAAGCAAGCAGATAGTAGTTGGTACAAACAAAGTCTGGCCTAAATAAAGAGGAGGATTTTGCGTAAACATGTGGTCATCAGCCCAATTCAAATATGCCTCACATGATTCACTAACAACAAACCTCAGGAGCTTTGATCCCAGACACAAATGAGGTGATTTGGTGACATCCTCTATGTGGGTGAAGGACCCTCCTACAATGCCTATCACCACTCACCCGTGTGTGGTCATATCCTGGGACTCTGGTCCTTGTCTTTCTATGAGCCTTCCACAAGGGATTCAGCCAGGGTATGCTGGTAGCTATTTAACAACCAAAAGTCCTCGCTTGACACAATTAAGTTTAGTGTGCATTATTAACATTTTCTCAATCATTTTGAGTGTATTCAATCAAGAAAACAACAAATCAAACCCTGGTTTCTAGCATTTGCTGATTTCCAGGTGTAGATGCTCACCCAGAAAACAAATGGCTAGACTCTTGGGCAGGTTAGAGCTGGCTCCGGAACACCATTGATTCCTGCCAGATTGCTGGAGGCCACCCTCAATATGTCTTGACATCTCATGGATCCCAGTAGACGGGTCCATGTTTTTTTTCCTTGATCATACATTTCTCTGATGAAATCCTTTATATCAGTTCCCTTTCTTAATTCTTTTTTTATAGAGACCATGTTACCTCTTGCTCACACCCACTAGTCTCCCCTTCTTTTCCTTTTTGGGTGTGATCCTTGCTTTCAGTTCTTTCGAGACATTCATGTCCCACAACTCGAAGGTGGGAAACATCCCAGAAAAGATTTATGCCAGCTCATGGAAAAATCAGATGATTACAGTAGATTAGCAGCTATAATTCTAGTTTTTGTTCAGTCATATCCAGCTCTTTATGACTCCATTTGGGGTACTGGAGTGGTTTGCCATTTCCTTCTCCAGCTCATTTGACAGATGAGGAAACTGAGGCAAACAGGGTAAAGTGACTTGCCCAGGATCACACAGCTAGTAAATGTCTGAGGTCAGATTTGAACTCAGGAAGATGAGGGTTCCTGACTCCAGGCCCAATGTTGCCCTGTAATTCCTGGTAAATAGGAAAATCTACAGAATTACACAGTAAGCAATACCTGGGCCAAAAGATCCATGCCTAACTGGAAAAAGGAATCCATATGCATGTCCTTAATTCGAAAGTGTATTAGCATCAATCAAATTTGGCCCTGAAGAAAGCAGAGAGGTGTATTTTTTCCTCTCTCAGTTTCTCTTCTCTGTCAGACTTATTTTGTTAAATTACCTTTTTCTCTCTCTTTTTTATTGCTTCTGACAAGATGAGCCTTATGGTGCAGTAGAAAGAGAACAGTCTAGATTTGGTGGACCTGAGTTCAAATCCTGTCTTTGGCATTTGTTACCTGCATAACCTTGGGTAAGTCACTTAACCATCTGGGCCTCAGTTTCCTTATTTGTAAAACAAGGGGGGGTTGGATTATACTGCCCCTAAGGTCCCTTCTAGTTGATAACCCTAGGGTGATTCTTAGAGAAGGGAGAAAGGATATATTTAGAAATTAAGGTGATGGAGCAGCTACATGGTGCAATGGATAAAGCACCAGCCCTGGAGTCAGGAGGACCTCAGTTCAAATCCAGCCTTAGACACTTGACACTTACTAGCCATGTGACCCCATTGCCTTGCCAAAAAATAAAAAAAGAAATTAAGGTGTTGTAAAAACAAATGATATCAATTAAAATATAAAAGAGAGTTTATTAGGAGATAGCACATTTGGGGGGATTCTGACTCAGAGGCTTCGATCATTCCCACAAATGGTATCTTCACCCCACTGGCTTTTCAGCCAAGCACATGTACCAAGTGTCTAAACTTGGTGTTCTTCCATTAAGATTACTATGACAACAACCGTTCTTGAGTGGGGGTGAAACTCATCAAAGCCAAGCCCCTTCATTTATGGAGGAGGACCTCTATAACTGAGGTCAAGAGAGGTGAAGCAATTTGTTTGCCAGACCTTAGTTTCTGACCACATTGTCTGTTATCTTTCTACAAATGATATTCCTTGACTGACTATCTCGGAACCTCCTTGTTCCAGGACAGAGTAGAGGGTTCAGGACAAGAGACGACATGGA